TAGGAAGCAGCAAGATTCGTTGCGCGCTCAAATAAAGTTTGCATGCAGCCCCACTGTGTCGGAAGCAGGAGAAAAACAAAGCAAATACACTGCACAATCGCAGCCTGAGTAAGGAACTCAACACTGAGTGAGGAACATTGTAATAAAGAGACCAGGGAAGATCAGTGCTGGACTATCCTGCACTTAACATGGGGGCCTAAGCAGGGTTAGTTCAACTTAGAGAAACTACACATGGCTAGTTTTACTTGAGGGGTTGAGTCCAGGTGGGTTTTCACGGTTACACCTCATCCCATCTCTTCAGAGCTTTAAGCTGTTTTTCTCTTCTCATTTATACAAGTGCATCCTGAGGGACAGAGAAAGCTACCTTTGTTTAGAAGGGTTACCTGGGTCAGAAAGCCAGGGGCAGAGAGTCCTTGTATAGAAAGACGCATAATTTGGATCCAAAAGCTAACCTATCTAATTCAACTGGCTTAAGGGTAAGAACCTACTGACTGGGGTGCCTGGGAAAGCCTGAGAATAAGTCTGGAGTCCAGGACAGTTACAGAATTCCTGAGCACTGGGCATGAATAGCACAGCTTGCCTTCCTGTGCTGCTGAGGAAAGTCCTCCACGTAGCTGTTCCTCTGTCCTGAGAGAATTCTGGATGAGGGCAAGCCCCTAACATCAGGGATCATCAAGTCAGGAAGAAACAAACTAAACTCTGTTGATGGCCTTGTATCTTCAAGGTCACCCACGGGTTCAGTCTGTAACATGCCTGCCACATAAGCACTGACTTCAGATTCCCAGCACTCACATAAAAAGCTGGGTGCAGTGGCATGTGCCTGGGATCCCAGCGCTGGGAGGTAGAGACTTGCTGACCAGATGATGGTCTATCCAACTGATCAACCCCAGGTTCAGTGAAAGAGACTGAGGTAGGAGGCTGGAGAAATGGCTTAGCAGTTAAGAGCACTGGCTGCTCTTCCAGAAGATCCAGGTTGGATTCCCAGCATCCCCATGGCAGCTCACAACTGTCTCTAACTCCAGTTCGAGAGCTCCTGACACCGTCATACAGTCACATGCAGGCAAAACACCAGTGAACATAAAGTATAAATATTTTTTTTAAAAAAATGAGGCAGGAAGCCAGCCTGGTCTACATAGTGAATTTCAGGACAGCCAGTGGTACATAGTGAGACCCTGTCTCAAAAAGCAAAAGACAAAAACAAACAAACAAAAAACAAAAAGATGAGGTGGAACTGGCCAACATGCAGAGAATAGGGAACCGTGGGTTGCTTAGCTCACTTTGTCCCCCTCAAGGGTCAGAAGAGGGGATAGAAAGGTCGTAAGAACCAGAGGGAGACAACTAAGACGTCTGTACTTTGGATGTCTTCATAGAAATTTTATTTATCAGGCATGTTAGCACAACTGTACAAATGAACTCAATGGCTGGGACTGCCTACACAAGCCTCACACAAGAGGGAGCCAGACAAACCCGACATGGATGAGGAGTGGCTTAGGAATCCTCACCCCACTGAGGAGCCACTGACAGCTGATGGTTGCCAGAGAAAGGACAATCACTTTCTTCAGGGAGAGGGAGAGAGAAGGAAGTTGTGAGAGGAGGTAGGAGAGAGAAGTATAGGGAAGAAATTAGAGGTGAAAGGAATGATCTAAGCATAATATACATGTATGAATATTATATAACACACTTAATTTTTAAAATGGGAAGCAATAGAAGACAAAAACTAGTAACCTCTGATACCCCATATACATGCACACACGTGCACATACACCTGAATACACATGTGCACATACACCTGAACACACACGTGCACATACACCTACAACAAATACATGCTCACACTTATCCCCAAACCCTACAAAAAGTTCTTTCCTTTAAGAGGTGCAATCTTAGTCATTGGACTGAATCACTGCCTCAACTTAGGACTCAGTGTGTGAAATAGGGATCTAATATACTAATTTAAAAATCCAGGAGCTGGGAGGTGGGCTAGTTGGTTAAAGTCCTTGCTGCACAGACACAAGAGTCTGAGTCCAATCCCCAACACCCACTGGGTATAAGAAATACACACCAGGATGTTGACAGCATCTTCAACAGACAGTGTGTCAACATGTGGAGTGTTAAGCTAGATCCCCATCTTCTCAGCCCACATACCAGGGAACTGTAAACGCATCAAGAGTCTCAATGTAAGACTTTGAAACAGCGTAACCCAAATCATTGTAGTCCAAAATTGCACACTGTTCTCCAGTCACCATGGTGTACCATTCCAATGTCTGCCCTTGATGTGTCTGATCTGTGAGTCTGCCCAGTGCCCATCCTCACACGATCCCATCAGTGGGAAGGACGTCCCATGTGCCATTTACAACATGACCCCTTGGATCCTAGTTATGGTAGCTTGAATATGATTGGCCCATAGGGAGTGGTACTCTTAGGAGGCATGGCCTAGCTAGAGGAAGTGTGTCACTGTAGGAGTGGGCTTTCAGACCCTCCTCCTAGCTGCCTGGAAGAGTCTTCTCCTGACTGCCTTCGGATCAGGATGTAGAACTCTCTACTTCTCCAGAGCCATGTCTGTCTGCATGCTACCATGCTTCCCACCATGATGATAATGGACTGAACCTCTGAAACTGTACCCAGCCCCCGTTAAACATTTTCATTTGTAAGAGCTGCCTTGTGTCATGGTGTCTGTTCACAGCAGTGGAAAACCTAACCAAGACGTTAGCGTTCACTCCACTACATCGCACTAGAGTATCCAACCGGTCTGTACCTGACCCCACAGTGTTCAATGCCTCACTATCCTGTCTCACCCAGCCCCCCACTGCTCCCCATCTCCGCCTAGTTCCCTACCTTCTGAGCTGCCAGCCAACCAACTTCCACAAGTCATCCTAGTCTGACGCCAAGCAGTTGGGACTCCTCACTCACCTCAGCTCAGTCTGCCATGGAGCTCTTGTCCAAATCCCTTGATTATGATGTCATATGACCCACCAACATTCCCTTCCCTAGTGTCACAATAGTGCTTGGCTCCAGCAGTCATTCTGATCCCTACTCTGTAAGATGTTCCAACTTACCCTAGTCTAACCACTGTACCCAGGCTCACAATGGTGCCCCCCCCCAGCTGTGACACCTGTCCTTGTAATCTACCTCCGAGCCTTCTGGTCCCTTGACTTCCAACAGCCATTTCTGTCCTCACTATATCTGCTTCTGCCTGTCTCCATAGCCTCCCTTGTTCCCTGACACACTATAGTGATGACACACAGTAGCCACTAGCCTGCCTGGTCCCCTATTACTCATTCCAGTCTTCCCAGTGTGCCAAGTCCTCTACACCCCCTGTGCATACCAAAGACATGCTAAACCTTCCCTCACCTGCCCCTACTTGCCCCTGTCTAACCTTCTAGGAAAGCCAGTTCAGAAACTATGCTGGTCAGTGTATCAGGCCATGCCCTGCCCCTGTCTAGTCACAGGCCCATCTCACCCTAGTCTGTGGCCCTCTAGCATGCTATCCTGCTCTGTTCCTAGACCTAGACCTATGGCATGTTTTTTGGCCACCTGACCACCAGCCACCTCCTAGTCTCCCAGGCTGCCATGCTCCCTCGCTTACCCTCTTCCACTCAGGGTATCCCATAATCAACATGCCCTGCTTGCCTACCCTGTCATTCTACTTGTTAGCCTAGTCCCAGAAGTCTTGGTTCCTATCTCACCATATACGATACAGTACCCAAACCTAGTTTAGTTCACAGTAACTGGCCATGAGAGTGAGTCCAGGTCTTCATCTCACCCTGGTACACTTCCTGCTGACCTGCCAGCCCACACCACTATCCAACAGTTACCTACTTTTCCAGGATCTGATCCTTCAGCTTCCCTCCTACCCAGACTTCCATCCCCATTTGCTCAAGTCTACTCAGTGTGACCATCCCACAAATATCCATTTGTGTGCCCCAATGGAGATACAGTGTATCCAGTTAGTCTATACACAGCGTATCCATTTGTGTGTCCCAATGGAGATACAGTGTATCCATTTAGTCTGTACACAGCGTATCCATTTGTGTGCCCCAATGGAGATACAGTGTATCCATTTAGTCTGTACACAGCGTATCCATTTGTGTACACTTTCCCCCCAGCTCACAAGAGTTTTCCCATTTCTATTCAGCTTCCCTATCGGGATATCTACCTCCTGGTCTATATAGCATACTTAATTCCCAACGATCCACAGATCACACAGCCTGCTGGCTTCCCTAAGACTGCAGCTGGCTGGACTGCCATCTGACACTGTCACTCACTCTACCCTATACCACCCAACACGGCCCATTCTGTGCCTAACTCGAATCCTTCCTGATCTGGCTTTTCAACTGCGTCGCCACCAAAAGCAAGTGGTATAATCATACACAAAAGAAGGCTTGAAATTTTAACTGTGTATATCCTGAATTTATGACAGCTTGGTGATTTTAGTCTGTCCCTCTGATTGAAGACACCACAAGATGACTCAAACACAAAAGTTGGTCATTGGGCATTTGTGTGCCCAGCCTACATTGTCCCGCAGCTCACGAGTTCTCCCATTCCTATTCAGGATCTCTACAAAGTAAATACATGGAGAAGGAAGGCCATCTTGTAGCTAAGTTGATAAGAGGGAAAATGGTCCTGAAGATATATAGAAAGACAGTGTTCCTGTTGAGGCCAACTAAACAACAGCAAACATTCAAGGAAGATCTCATGGCAGGGTTTCTAAGCAGAAAATTACATGGTCCAGTTCAAGAACTGCAGACAGTGAAGGAATGAGGTGAAGCCCCAGACATAGAGGGAACAAACAGAAAAGTTCCCTGGAGAAGTGGGGGGGGGCGTGGGGGGATAGGGTGGGGGGGGGGTGGGGTGGGGGCAGGGACTGAGGGCTCACCCTCCCCACCCTCACAATCCCTCTATGACTCTTCCTTGCTCTGTGATGCAGACCTGCCCACTTACATTGAGGCCCCCACAACCTCAGATCTCAGCTGCCTTAGGCAGCCCTTGAGATTCACACTATGAAGAAGGTTCTCTCCATTCTCAATAGCTCCATTCTGACTAGCGCTACGGAATCATGGTTGAGCTTTGGCTCAGTCTTCATGGACATTTACCCCAAATGCATCTTTCTGAGTGTACTAGGGCTGCTGGTTTTGTACCTAAGGTACCTGAGAGTGAAACCCTTCTTACCCGCACAGACCAGCCAAGGAATCAGGAAGGTAAGGCTGTATGGAGACTTCCTGGGGCACTCTCTTCTTTTGTAGTTATTTCTATGTTAAGTACCTGAGCTAGAATACTGTGGAGGGGAGAGAGCACTGCAGACTTAGAACATGAAGTCTGGGATGGAAGGAATGAGTTTCATCTGGATCCCTTGCCTCCGTCCCTAGGTGTCCAGTGTTGAGCACCCATTCCTGGTCTTAATGGCTTGGTTCCAGGTGTCAAGCTTTCTGAAGGAGAACTAGGTCTGCTGACACTGGGTCCCAGGCCCCAGTTCTGCCTCATATGTTCCTTCAACTCCCTTCTCCTGGCCTCCAACTCTGGCTTCAGGAGAGTAGTGTTGACCACTGGGACCTCTGAGAAGAACCTGGAACCTGAGCTTTGTCCCAGGACAAAGTGTCTCAGGGGCACACCACCAGAGCTCTGGGCCCAGAGTTTCATGCTGTTCAGCACAGGACATCGTATTGATATTCCCAGCCCTGAAACTTGCAGATTAAAAAAAAATCCTCCTTTGTGTTTCTCAAAGAAGAAAAAACTGAAGGTATTCTATTACCTTCAAAAGTAACTAATGAGGGTGGAAAATAAACGTGCTTGACCTGAAATGACAATGCTCGTGGTTAATGGAAGCTTTGGTCATCCTAGGGAAAACGACAGAAAAAAAATCATTTTTCTTTTTGTTCACAGCAACAAGGCAGAGCTAAGAAGGAAAGAAGAGCATCATTTAACGGTAGGCTCCTAGCCCTGGGGTCTTAGAACCACAGTTTCTCTCTTCCTGTCATTTCCATAAGCACCCAGATCCACAGTCTGAGGATATTCATCACCAGACACACACTCTGTCCTGACAACAGAGCCCTCAGAGAAGACTGAGGACGATCTCTGTGTCCCCAGAAGACTGAGGAGGAGCCCTGTCTCCCTCCTCAGCTCACCGCAGGCATGAAGCAATGATGCCTGACCTGGGCAGTAGGTGCTTGTTGCCCATGCAGTGAGCACAGGAGGAGCGTAGGGAGCACGGTGGGGGGGGGAGCAGCATTGATGAAATGATGCTCCTGAAGAAACACAGGCGAACAGACATTACTGGCACTGTTGCTGATGATGTCACCACATCTCCTGTTTCTCGATGGCAGACTACAGTAGCGCAGGTGTTTCCCTTAGAGGAGATAAGATGTCCACATCTCTTGTCTTTTCATTCCCTACAACCTATTCCCCTGCCTTCCAGAATTCAGACGCTTCCACGGAGAAGCACAGGAGCGGAGGAAGCTGCAGTCTGTTGTGCAAAGGTGACTCTTTCCCCCTTTCCTCCACAGCCTGTCCCCCCAAACCCTACCCCAAGGTCAATGTATCCTGGGGACTTAGAATAGCCTATTCTTGTCACGGGAGTGATAGCCAAAGGAGTAAAGGAGTAAGTGTATAAGCTGGGGGTACGGGGTGAGGCTGCAGCCCCCCCTGGCGGCCAGGGACAGAACAAATGGAAGAGGGACACAGGCTTGGGGTGTTTGTACCCCAGATGGGCCAGTTGACCTTTTTTTTTTCTGTCGGTGTGATGAAACACCACAACCAAAAATGACTTTAAGGAACAAAGGTTTAACTTCAGCCTACAAATCCAAACTGTGGTTTCTTGTTGAGGGAAGCCAAGGCAGGAACTCAAAGGCAGGCCTGACTGCTACTCTACACGTTATTACCTCAAACCAAGGATGTGAGCAACCTACTTCCTAGCCAAGAACCATGGAGAGTACTGCTTGCTAGCTTGGGTGGAGTTGGCTCATAGTCAGCTAGTTTTCATGTACACAGCAGTACCATCTGCCTAGGGATGTGCTGGACCTTCAAACAGGCAAGGCAACCTTCCATAGGCATGACCGCAGGCCTGTCTTCTCTGAGCAATCCTCCCACAGAGGCTCTTCTCTCAGGTGAAAGCTAAGTTATGTCAAGTTGACAGGTAAAGCTAGCTAGAACACAGGTCTTGACTACAGATCCGACCTTTGTGTGTTCTTCAGCTCCTATGGACAGCTCTACGACCCCTCCTACTTCCGGCAAGCGCTTTGTCGGGATCCTGGCTGTGACGTGTGCAATGGAGCAACCATGAAGGTCAGACGACTGCTATCATGGGCCAGCCTAGAAGACTGCTCTACCTCTGCATCCAGCATGGCTTCCACAGCTTCCGTGACTGAGACCTCATTCAGTCTCTCTTCTTCCCTCTCCCTCTCCCAAAGCACTTCAGGATATCAGATCTCATCTTTATCAGTTGCACCTTCTCCCCCTCCTCCCTCCATTCTCTCAACTAACAAGCTCGTCCCCTTGGAAGACATCCTTTTGGGCACACCGCAGGATGACGTTCTGTCACCAGACCCTACTCTCACAAGCACTAGCTTCCCACTGGATCACATCCTACCTCCTCCACTTCCTAAGTCTCCTTCTGTGGCACAGCCTGCCACTCAGCAAACAGAAGGGCCTTTAGGACCGGAAAACACTCTGTCCTTGGCTGGCAGCCATGGTGACCAGTTTCTCGATGCTTGCGATGCCTTGCCAGAGTCCTACCAGCAGCAGAATGGTGCTCAGAACGCCTCCCCATCCCAGTTAAAATGCTTAGTTAACCAAGAGATAACCAACCACCACTCTTCTGAAGACTTTTGGGGAAGACAAGCCTCATCCCATTTCACAGTGCCTGAAAACCTCCTGAAAATGCTTGAGACACAGGAGGAAGGTCAGACTGACGTTCTCACACCGGAGGGTGGGGAGGTAGAAGCAGAGCCTTTCCAAAAGACACTTGCAGTTTGGGAGAAAAAGCCAGAGCCAGCTACTGAGCTACAGAACTCAGGAGACTCCTTTCCTCTGGGGGGCAGCAGAGCCTTACTCAGCGAGCTGTGTACTCAGCAGGGGCTTGCTCAACTGCAGACCTCTGGAGGCCAGTTAGAGGCCATGCCCACGCAGCACTTCTGGGGCCTCCCTTATCTCCACAGCGAGTCCATGAGCTGTATCACTACAATGTCCTCTCACTGCTCCTCCATGTGCATCTGGTTTAACAGAACCACAGACTCCCCGGCCCTGGATCCCCCAGCACCTCTGCCCTTGCCTGAAACACAACCACAGACCTTGACTCAATCTCAGTCCCAAAGCATCCAGCTTGCCACACCCCAGGCCCAGCTTCAAACAATCCCAGTGTCATCACCTTCCTCTCAATCTCAGGTTAGGGTTTGCGGTGTGTATTTTCGCAGATCCCAGGAGACAAAAACTCTATTGCAGTCTGAAATCCACCACCTAGAGTACGACATGGCAACAAAAGATCAGGAGAGGGCACGGGCTTTACCGTCTGCGGTCCAAAAACCTCAGGAAGAAATCTGTCTCCTTCCTTATAAGTCTTCCTTGGCCATACAGTCCTCCAAGATCCAAACTCCCAGGTCCGTTCCCCCTAGAGACTTCCCCCTGACTGATGGATTCCAGAAGAAGTTTGAGCAACACCTTCGAAAGAGGCTCGTCCTTCATCGCTGGGGCCTGCCTCAGGGGATCTATAAGTCTCAGCTGTGGGTGACTCCTGACCCTCCAGAATTATCTATGAGCAGCTATGAGCTCTCTGGCTTTAAGCAAGAAAATGAGAAAGACCAGCCCAACACTCTGTCGAACCAATCTGGAAGCCCCCAAGAACGGCGCTCAGAGTCTGTCTCTATAGAGAGAAAAACAGTAAAGACACAAGAACAGACTCTAGAAATTATCCAAAAATATATCTGCAGTAACTCCAAGACTGCTCTAGACAATGGCCTGCCATCTGACCATGAGATAAGCCTACAGGATCAGTCAGACAGTCTGTCAGACAAACCTTCAGAGGCCTCACAGGTAAGCCTATATCAGAAAAAATTTGAAACTGTCCCAAAAGAACATTTGAAAACCCATGTCGATGGAACCAACGAGGATCAGGTCCCTGTCACTATGTCTAGATCAGAAGGGCATCGTCCTCTCCATTTTAACTCCTGTGTGGTCAAGGAAGAGAACAAGCCTGAGAGACAGTCACCTTCTGATGACAAGGATGAGCAAGTCAAGAGCATACACAGAGTTACAGTGTCCAGTGTGCAGGAGACATCTGTGGTCTTTGACACCACAATCCTGGAGGAGTCAGAGGCTAAAAGACCCAGCCCAGATGTGCCCAAAATGTTGGCTGAGGCTGGCCCTGTGCCATTGGGTAAAAGCCTAAGTTCTAGTAAAATAGTCCCAGGCCCTCAAGGAACAAAGATGGATGACAAACATGTATTTGTATCCAACAAGGTCAGTCACATAGTCAAAGGAGAACAGCTTGACCTTCAACCACAACCTACCAAGATCTCCAATGCCAGCCAGTGGGAGCCTGCGGAAGAGGCAGATGGGAATACACCAAAAGCACAGAATATCCTGTTAGTTGGAAGGGCCCTGGAAAGAGTATCAAGTTCCCAGGAAAGTCAGGCATCTGACTTTAGTTGTCAGGTGTCCACGGAAGAGAGTTTTAAATCAGAAAGTAGTCAGCCCATCCAAGCTCCAGACTGCCTCAAAGACGTGCTCCGTGTCTCAGATAAATTCGCTTACAAACCTTTAGTCATTCATGACCAGAGCCCTTCCAGTGCTCCCATGAATGCTATTCAGGTGCAGCAACCGGAGCCCTGGATCCCTGCTCACGCCTTAGGCAAGGGCCTGAGCAAGGACACCCCTCTAACTGCCAGGAAGTTGTGGACCGCAGCACGGAAAACAGAAGAGCTTGCTACAGGGGTTGCAGGGTCCGAGACATTACAACCCAACGGGAAGAGTTACCATGTACAGGACAGCCCAACCCAGGGGAGTCACGGGAAAAGGCCTATCTCATCGCTGCCAGTGAAGGCTATGTCTCCACCTGAACATCAATTCCGGAAGCACGTGAAACACTTTTTCCAGTGGCTTTCTCCTGACAGAAAATGCAAAGGGCAGGAAGCACTTCTGAAAAAGGATGCTTTCCCATCCTCGCCAGCTCAAGACTCGGAACTAAAGGGAAGAGCTACCTTTCCTGGGAACACTGTAGCTCAGAAAGCCATGAGAGACTTTGGGAAGGTCCCCAAGGAGCAACTGGGGCACAGGCATGGTGCGGCAGATACCACGCGCCCTCGCGTGTCCTTATCTCCGCCCACTAAGCCTGTGAAAACTAAGCCAAAGACAGAACCAGTCCCGGGACGCCAGTTCTACCCCCAAGCACCCCTTTCTAAAGTGCCAAGTCCCAGGTTCCACAATCAGGCCGCTGGTTTTGTTGGTCAAAAGAGATGTACGGCGGAAAGGGCCAGACCGCCCCAGAAATGTGAGGCTTTACAGCCGCGCCAACCTGCGCCCCTCAGAGAGTCAGAACTGCGCCAAAGCCTCCTGCTGAGGAGTCGAGCTGGAAAAGTCCCTCGGGGCACGCCTCCCTTTGCTGTAGGCACTATGTTGGCAGACATGTCCCGGTTATGTGAACAGAAAATCCTGGCTCAGAATTTCAGTGGAAAAAGTTTTGTTCCCCAGAAATAATCCACCTCTTAACCGTACTCAGTACCCTCAATAAATGTTTTCATGAAGTAATGTCTTTCGTGTGTACCGTGTGTGCGTGTGCCGTGCATGGAGTGGATTTTAGGTGACACAGGGCTTGTGTTTGGGGAAAGGGCTTGGTTAGTTCAGCCCTCACCAAGTTCTGTGTGCTTCTGAGAGGTGACCTGGCTCCCTGGGCTCTTGTTAAGGATGGATGTAATAGGCCTTGAGAAGAACCGTTGGTGGTCCTGCCTCCTCACGGCTGAGCCTTATTGTCAATTGTCATCCTTGAGAGGAAAGCCCTTCTTACCATAAAAGGTTTCACCTGCGAAGAACAGTCTATTCTGTCAGTGGTTTTGACGGTTGTCAGTAAGCATGACTTTATGGGAAAGATCTGCAGCAGTCAGTAGCTGTCACGTGCACAGCCTCTGCTGGGTGCTTGCTCACGTCTTTCCGTCTTTCCGATACGACACGAGCTTAGCCAAAAGGCAAAGAAGCCACGCTCACGGCCTTCAGAACCCACGCCATTTTGTCCTTGCCACTGGAAAAATCACCCCCAGAGAAATATTTCCCTTTCGTAGTCATTTTCTTCAGCCTGTCTGGGTTTGTATTACTAGGATGAAACATCATGACCAAAAGCCACTTGAGAGGGAGTTTATTCGGCTTACAATAGCCCAAGATAAAGTCCACTGAGGGATACAAAGACAGGAACTCAAGAGGTGCTCCTGTTTGCTGACTCGCTCCTCGTGGCTTGCTCAGCCTGCTTCCTTATAGAACCCAGGGCCACCTGCCCAGTCCCCTTCCATTAGTCGATGAAGGGACTGGACCTTCTATCAATCATTAATTAAGAAAATGTCCTATAAGCTTGCCTGAATCCCAATCTTAAAATGAAGCATTTTATCAGCTCTCAGATGACTCAAGTCTGTGTGAAGCTGACAGAAAACTAGCCAGCACAACTACCTAATATTCTCCCAGGCCGCTAAGTAACCTTGGCAACTCGTAGGTCTGCCCCACCTGTCAGCCTACAATTACCCTACCTAACTCATGTTATCTTGCCCTACCAACCTGGCTAGTTAGTGTTAACAAACACACCCTAGTCAGCTAACTCCTGATCTGCCTCTGTGACTGCTCCCAGAGGACCCTAAGCAATCCCAGCATGCCTCCCAAGTCTTGCTTTACGCCCACTACCCACATCACGTACCATTTCCCAATGTATTCTCTTGTATGGCCAATTAATCTGCCAGCCAGGGCCTCTCCCCAGATTGCCATGGTCCTATCTGCTAGGCTGCCCGTTTGCCCAAGTAACCCAGCCATATGGCTGTAACCCCACCCTGATTCAGAGCCTCTTGGCCTACAAGCAGCCCGGTTCATGAACTCCTGTTCTGCCATTCTGTGCTGCTGCCCGCCACCCCATTCCAACAAGTGCAGCTTTCCCCAGTGCACACTGCCTTCCTTGCTCCATTCTGCTGTGTACGCTGTGGTCCCCTAGACCCCACTACAGATCTATAACCTGGCCTGCCACATGCTACTTCCCCAGCCTACCCAGCACGCCACGGTAACACCCAGCTTGTCTCCCATGCCTACATATCCTGTTCCCTGTGCTTCCTACTCAGGCCAGCCCTGCCTGCTTCCTGATCTGCCAATCAGCACTTCTAGCAGCCCTTCCTAGCCTGCATCTAGCAAGCTGTCAGCCGACTGTGTTTCTGGCTGCTATTGCTCCACACAGCAGGCCAGTTTCTCCAAGTCACCCGTCTGCCTTCTAGCCCACTCTGCTCCATAGCTTACCCTAGCCCACATGGATACCCAAGCTATAGTCTGGCCTGTGAGCCTTCTATTCTTCAGATCACCCTACTCATCCTCCTTTGGCATACCATCAGTCTGCCATCTGCCTACCTGACCCTATTCCACCAAGCATGTCCCATACCATAACCTGCGTTGGTGTGGCTGCCTGTCTGACCCTAGTGTAGCCTACATACCTGGCTCCTGATCCTTGTACATGGCTGCTTTGCCTTCCCGAGGTCCTCCCTTCCAGACATCCCAGTCCACAGCCTTGTGGACTCTAATACCATTCCTCCCATCTACCCTGGCCTGTGGCATCCTGCCCAGCCATGCTCATGTTTCCAGTTTGTGGTCTGCTGACCTGCTAGTGTCTAGTCTCTGATCTCCCATGGGTGATTGGTTACCAACTTACCCTAGTCTACAGTCTGTCAGACCACAGTATACATTGGCACCCAGACTGGTTGCATAACTCACTTTAAACATACACACACACACACACACACACACACACACACACACACAACTAACTTTCTTTCTAGGGCCCCAAATGTCACTTAGTTTGCTAGAAAGAGCAAAGAAATGTCAGATTTATGCCAAAATCCTTTCCCTAAAAATGAGCCAGGTGTGGTAGTACACACCTTTAATCCCAGCACTTGGGAGGCAGAGGCAGGTAAATCTATGAATTCAAGACCAGCCTGGGACTACAAAGTGGATTCCAGGAAAGCCAGGGCTACATTGTGAGACTCTGTCTCAAAAGAGAAAAAGAAAGAAAACAAGCCCATGAAACTCTACACAGAAAACATCCCTGGAGACAGAACTGAGTTTAAAATGATTTTCAAATGCAAAGTGGTTGTCAGCTGGCTATCTGCTGGGGAGAGGGCTAAGATCAGGACTCGATGCTGTACTGGAGAGGCAAGGCTCCAACCTGGTCCCCTTCCAGACAGAGGCTATTCATTTAGTAGGCAGGGCTTGCCCCGAGCCCACCCAGCTGAACAAATAACACCCTTCAAGACCTTAACCTTCAAAGCATTCTTAAGAACAGTGAGAAGGGGAGGCCTATGGGTATGGCAAGGGCTTGCCCAAAGCAAGGGCCAGGAAGGCTTCTGTGAACTCTCAGGATGGGCTAGCCTCGGGATATGGACTAAAGAGGCTGCTGGGCAAGTGGCAGAGTCCAGAAGAGGACAGTAAGTCTGTCTTCCAGCCTCCAAGGCCAGGCGGCCCCTTAATTGCTTCCAGTATGGTTGCTAGCCTCTCTGTCAGGGGTCCTTCCATTTCTCCGGGGTCCTTCCATTTCTCTATCAGCCTCCTCAAATACTGTCTTACTCCTACCTGCAGTTTCTGCACTACACTCCCACAGCCTTGGAGTCACCCTATGTCAAGGACAACAGTCCCAAGACATGGAGTCTGAGGAAGAGTTGACCTTCGTCAAGCTTACCTCACCGCCCCTCATACCTGGTCTAATTTTCTTTTTTCTGTTTGCACCTCTTCAGGTTTATCTACTTTCAGTTAATCAGTGTGGAAATCCTATCATCTTCAATAGTAGGTCAATTGTACTGTCTGATGCTGTGTGTCAACTTGACACAAGCTAGAGTTATCACAGAGAAAGGAGCCTCCATTGAGGAAATGCCTCCATGAGATCCAACTGTAAGGCATTTTCTCAATTAGTGATCAAGGAAGGAGGACCCATTGTGGGTGGTGCCAATCCTGGGCTGGTAGAACTGGGTTCTATAAAAAAGCAAGCTGAGCAAGCCAGAGGAAGCAAGCCAGTAAGTAACATCCCTCCATGGCGTCTGCATCAGCTCCTGCTTCCTGCCCTGCTTGAGTTCTGGTCCTGACTTCCTTTGGTGATGAACAGCAATGTGGAAGTGTAAGTTGAATAAACCCTTTCCTCCCCAACTTGCTTCTTGGTCATGATGTTTTGTGTAGGAATACAGACTCTGACTAAGACAGGCATCCTAGTGCCTGCCTTCTCCCATCTCAGTCCACCCAATCTGTTGTGTTTCTCAAACCCTGCTAGTCAGTTACTACTGGACCAGCCAGTCCAAGTTATTCCCTCAACTGCCAGCAAGCCACACTTCTCTATTTACCATGCCAAGTGGCATGTCAGCCCACCCCATTCTCCACTTACTGTAGTTCATGCAGCATGACAAATTCACTTCTTTTCAGTATCCAGCCTGTCCTGTTTCCCAGTCCACCCTGGTCCTGCCGTCCTCCGTGTCTCTTACCTGATCCACTCCACCCCAATGTCCTCTCCTCCGTTTCAACTCTACGGAGCACTTCATTCCCTACAGCCACGTCTCTTCTCAGCCCACCAGTGACCAGCAGCCTCAACAAGCTGTTCACAGGACTTGGTTTAAGCACATCTAGCCCCTCTTCCTAGATTCCACCTCAGTCATACAGGACCCTCTGCAGCAATAGAGACAAACACTGAGGTAAGGGTCACATCTAGCATCTGATCACCGACAACTGGTTCCCAGACTTGACTAAGTCACTCTGTTCTAAGAAAAATTACCTACCCTGTCACATAAGATTGACTTCATGTTGGGGAGACCACTGGTCTCAAAGTGCCGAGAGCCATGCAGAAGGAATGACAGATGGCTTTAGAACTCGAGGAATGCTGCCCACTGGTTACCATGGCTACATGGGTTGGCCTTGGTGTGGCAGGGCCCTGAGGACCACGTGTCCTGAGGACTTCATGCTGTTAAGGCGTTCTGTCCTGCTTGCTGCCCTCACATCTCTCTTAATCTAAGAATTATATGAAAACTCTAAGGGTGCTTCCAGCCCCTCACTGGGCAGCATCTCTGGCACTCACAATAATAGTGCTTGATCTCTTTCAGGCATTGTTGCTGGAGCAGATTAATGATTCTATAACCACCTTGGGAAAGAACTTAGAGACGTAGATTGTCAGCAATGACCACCACCCTGAGAAAGTATTTGGAAAAATAAAATTGTTAGTGAAGCCAGGTTAGGATGTTTCTGCTACTGGTTCTGATGTAGAAAACCTTAGCAAACAGTTTAATATTCAAGGCACACTCTTATTAGTTAAGCTAGGGACCTTTTATGGCCAAGGGACAAGAACAATGGCAGTACTGGCTGGCGTGACCATCACTGAGGCTGGACTGGCGATAATCGATTCCTTACACCCATTTCTGCTGTCCTCAGGTTCCTGATATGATTATTGAGAATTGCTGATAAATAGATATGCATTCTGAGGATTTAAGGTA